ACCAGAGCATCAGGCCCACAGTGTTCCACAAAATTAGGTTTCTCAGGGAAAACCTTGGCTTGAGCTCTCCAATTTCCAAGAGACTGTTCCTTATGACCTGAGGGCACCAGAAGTTGACAACTGAAGGAAATCTATTCCTTCACTCTTCATTCTGCACAGACCCTGCAATGCCTTTCCACTGCCCCCAGAAGAAAAGCCAGAGCCAGACTTCTTAGGCAGTGCTGGGTGCACTTCCTGACCTAAGCACTCATTTGCACTGTGTCCATCTCGTTCATCAGTGTCCTACCAGCACTCAGCACAGCTTCAGGTGCTTGATAAAGTTAAGAGAGAGAGGACCTCTGCTCCTCCCTACCCCGATCACCCTCTAGTCTCTTAGACTTCTACAGTAAGTGGAAATGTTTTAAAAATATTTGGAAATCCTCAGGAGAGTATGCTTACTCTAGAGAGGACAGAGATTCCAGTCTCATTCACAATAAGCTACAGAAAGTTGGTAAGACTAAAAATGACTCAAGCCAGAGGTAGTATGAGAAGGGAAAGATATACTCACACCTGGGGACTGATTTCCTCTGTGGAAAGGCAGGATGTACAGGCAGCAAGGGAATAGGCCAGGTTGGCATGAGTTCCAGGGGCTCACAGTATCCTGGCCCTTCCTTCTACCTCCTACCAAGCCCTACACCCCTGATCCCTTCACCAGTTAGCAGGAGCCATGTCCAGATAGGACATCTCAAGTGATTTGGTGCATCCCACCAAAGTGTGGGAGAAGTGGTTAATACCCCTATTTGAATACACTTAGAATACAAAAATTAAGAGGGCCCTTACTTTGTGTCTGATAATTTGCCATTACATACATTTCAACAAATTCTGTTACTCTATGTGACAGGTATTATCACTGGGTTGAATTGGCTTAAGCTTAATCATTCTTTTTTTAGATATGGATGGACACAATATCTTTCTTTCTTTCTTTTTTTAACTGATGCTCAGGATCAAACCCAGTGCCTCAAACATGCTCAGCAAGCACTGTACCACTGAGCCACAACCCCAGCCCCTAAGCATAACCATTCTTTACCCAGTAACCAAAATGAACTTTATAATATGTGAATAAATGAAAGTCTGATGTGGTGGCACATGCCTATAATCCCAGTGACACAGGAGCTTGAGGCAGGAGGATTGCAAGTTCAAGGCCAGTCTCAGCAATTTAGTGAGACTGTCTCAAAATAAAAAATAAAGGACTGGACTAACAGCTTTAAGAATGTGAGGGGCTGGGATTGTGGCTCAGTGGTGGAGCGCTTGCCTAGCATGGGCGGGGCCAGGGTTCGATCCTCAACACCACATAAAAATAAAGGTATTGTGTTGTGTCCATCTACACCTAAAAATATAAATATTAAAAAAGGAATTTGAAATATTTATTCCTTGATTAAATATCAGACACATGCTCTTATATACAAAAAAAAAAAAAAAGATAGGGGATGTGGCTCAGTGGTAATGTGCCCCTGGGTTTAATCCCCAGTGTGCCTATATAAATAAATCATAGCCAATCTCTACTTTAAAACTCCTAATGGGTTTCCATTGCCCTCCAAATAACATGCAGGGTCCTTCCTATGGTTTCCAAGGTGGGATTTGACCCTGCCCTCTCCCTGTTCCTGATGCTCCTGCTCCACTGCATTTTTTCCTCTTCCTCAAACTTTCTGCTTAGAGGAAACTGGATGGCGATGCAATTCATATTGCCACAGCCTTGAATATGTAACTTTATTCTATAAGAGTCAGGATCAGATGGAATTATCAAAGAGTAAAACCTTAAAAGTCACATGCTGGGCTTAGAGGGTAGGGCATGTCTTCCCTGGAAGTACTAAGGGTGGTCCAGAGGAAGACCAGCCACCACCAGGAAGAGCAGTCCTAAGCAGAACTCTGGCGCTCCACTGAACCTCAATCTCAACACTTCTCAGAGTCTATTTTCCCAGTTAGTAAACTGGTTCCTACAGTTGTAAGAGATGCAGGCACAGTAAGCTGAGTCCTAGATGGAAAGAGAAGCAACACAAAACCACCAAACACCCAGATTCTATTACTCTCACAATCACAAAATGTTCTATGGCAAAAGAATGTTACTTGGGCTGGGGATGTAGTTCAAAAAAGAACGTTACCCCTACTGATATTTAATGCTTAGACCTGAGGTCCTATGGATTCTATGGCAAACAAATAAACTAGTCCAACAATTTCATTTTAAAAATTAAAAGAGATGAAATCCTGAGAGGCTGAGAACCCTGCAGAGTCACACAGGTTGGTAACTTACAGAGAGTCCAACACTCTTATAAGGGTTCAATCGTTGAGATGGCTGCAATCTATGTCATCATGAGGGTGGTAGGTAGTGCAAGAGGCATCTATCTGATCTCTGCTCCCAAGCACAAATACAACCATGATGGCACAAGCTGGTCCCATTTCCTTCCTAAATCAACCTGGCACAAGGTCATTCATTCCTCATAAGATGACTTGCCCCAGGAGCCTGGACTTCAGCTGCTTGGGCCGTCAAAAATCATACCACCTCATTGCACTGTACCCCACAGATTACAGATACTTTCAACAGACAAAACACTCGAGGTAGGAAAGATGACTACTAGGGGAAATCAACTGATTTGATGCACTGCAGTTCCTTCTGCAGGGCCTTTTCTGCCAGCTCAGGAAAGTCTACTGGCTACATCTCTTCCCAGCTTCACCTTCAGGTTAGTAGTTTGAAATCCACCATAGTGGGAGTATTTACACCATGGACATTGGCAAATGCTATAGATAAGTGCCTTTTTTCTCTTCTCTGTTGTTTTTGAAGAGTCAGTCCAGTCATTAAACATTCATTAAGAGATCACTGGTTACTTTGGACTCATGGAGCAGAAATACAGCTGAAATAGAGCCAACAGCACTCTACCACTGAGATACTTCCCCAGTCCTTTATATTTTTTACTTTGTTGAGACAGGGTCTTGCTAAATTGTTGAGGCTGGGCTCAAACTTGTGATCTTCATGCCTCAGCCTCCCAAACAGCTGAAATTACAGACATGCACAAGCATGCCTGGCTAGTCATTCCTGTAGATCATGAAAGCCACTTCTTTAATTCAGGTTCTCATTCCTTAGAACAAAATTGTAATTGGTCTCCCTTGACGTAATCTGTCTTGCTCTCCATTTTATTCCTCAAATTATAACCAGAAAAATCTTACCAAAATACAAATTGAAACATCCAACTAATCCCTCTCTCCAAATGCCTAATCACATTACCATCTGCAACCAGTCACACCAACATTGAAGATAAAGTCTCAAGAGAATTCAAAGCTGTTTAGATCTTCTTTCATCGTCACCCCCCCTACATACACACACATATTTCCAGTCATGCCGAATGGCTGAAATTCTCAGAAGGTATTCATTCCATTGTCATGTTTGTCAAAGATCACCTTTGCTAACTAGCTTTCTTGGAATGGCTCCATCTTCCTGAAGGCTGGGCGTTCAGTACCCTTTCTATGTTTTCTTATGCCACCTCCCTTATCATGGAACTTTCATGATTATAGTTGTCAACTGTAAGTTTGCTACAAGACTCAGGAGGCAAAATGTCTCATTTCTGAATCTGTAGTGACTGACACATGGGGAGACAAAAAAATATCCATAAAATTTGTCTTGGACCTCAAGAATTAATTCTGGTTCTTTCCCATCTCTTTACCAAATGTCTACTAATCTCTGCAACACCTTGCTAAGTATGTCCAGCTTCCTGAACACCTTCTGCAACAGGGAAATTATTTGCTAAACACCACATGGCCTCATGCTGGACATCATACACAGAATTCCACTGCAAGAAGCTCACAGGCCAATTTGTTCCTTGACACCTGAGAAGACCAAGCCCCTACTGCACCATCACTGGGAGTTGCCAACTTCGAAACTATCACTCGTCTCAGAAAACAACTGGCAGAAGGAACACTGATAAGATAACTGATAGAACTGAATGTGTGAAGAACCCTATATGCAGCACAAAGGAGACATGCTGTTCTAAGGTCAAGATCCAGGAGTAACTGGCACCTACAGTGGGCACATTCAACCAGATGAGGAAGCCAAGTCCAAGATTTAAATCCTACCCAGATACAATCTTATCAATGTTCATTAGGGTTGTTCCATGGTGTCTGAGGGGGCACTGGTTCCAAGATCCCTTTGGATACCCAAAGCCACAGATATTCCAGTCCTTTCATGGCATTAGCATTTACATAGAACCTACATGCATCCTCCTGTATACTTTAAATCATCTCTAGATTACTTACATTACGTAATGAAATGTAAATGCTATGTAAATAGCTATTATACTGTATTGTTTAGAAAAAGATAGGAAAATAGTCTGTACATGTTCAATACTGATGCAACTTTTTCAAATATTTTCAATCTATCATCAGAGGGGTCAACTATGAACATTTTCATAAAATGACTTTTTTTCAGTACCAAGGATTGAACTCAGGGCCTCACACATGTAAGACAAGGGCTCTATACTGAGCCACATCCCCCAGAAAATTACTGTTCAAAAACAATATGGAATGTTTCCGTATAGTTAACACAGCTGGGATTTTCCCAGAATTCTTCTTGCCCCAGGTTATGTCATCAATGTTTAATCTTCACCATTGCCATGTTGCTTTAAAGGGAAGTGTCTTGGCACCATTTTGCGCTAATTCTAGTAAAGTCTAAAAGAAAGGAGAAAAAAAATTATTTGAATTACTTTATTGAAGGAGATAGGTTATTCAAACACTACACGGATGTCAACAAAGAGCAAAAACATGGAGGAAGTCGGGCTTGTTGGGAGTTGATAGTACTGAAGGCTCTGCTCAAATGCTCAGAATTTAGTTTTCCATATTTCTCCATGGTTTGACTCTTCAATGATCACTCTCTGTTCACAGATTCTGGACAACAAATGAGATAAGATTCTTTTGGCTATCAATCAACAGTCCTCAGGTCTTCTCTCAGCCAAGATATCCCGTAAAAATGTAAATTATTTTTCTGATTCCTCCAGAGGACTGAAAAGTCTTTTTCGCATTGCATTGCCATGCTCCCTGCTCCTGGTCCTCTTTTCCATGTACTGGAAGGAAAAAGGGAGAGAAGAGATGGGAGATGATGTCACCATTTATGCCAGATAAGCCAAATAATAAATGCTATTACTAAAAATTTTTTTAATTGTATTTTTTTTTTAATTTTACTGAATCTGAGACATTTAGTACAACACTCATTCAATACAGGGTAGCACTTACATCCTAACAAGTACATAATAGTTGCTGAATCGATTGCCTCCCAAAATAAGAATTCAATAGTCAATATTTCAGATGGATGAGTTCTGTCCCTATTCTCCAAGAGTTCACAGTCCAGGAAGTCCTCTAACTCTGCTAAACACATCTAGTTAAGAGGGGCACACCACCTTGAGAGGTGGCCTGTTTAACTGTTGGACAGTTCTACTTGATTCAAAGTTTTCATATTGAACCAAAAAGTATATCCCTGTAATCTATCCTGTTGTCTTCTGTTTCTTCTTGCCTGCTATATTCAAATAACTGATGAATTATGACCCACTCCTTTTCTTCAGGCTGAACACCATGGGTTTCTACAATTGTTCCACAGCATATTGCTTCTGTCTTCTAACATCTGTAAAATGACTTTTATTTTATACCCCACTATAACATCAACTCACTTTTATATTTAAAAATCACTAGAATTAAACACAATATCCTACTAGACATAGTCTGACAGACATGGTATAATGAACCTAGTTCTTATATCCTAGTCATACAGTACATTTCTCTAAGTAGTACTAAGAATCAATGGCTCTTAGCAGCCACATTATCCTATAGACTCATATGGAAATTTATAGCCAGCTGAACTTCCTAAGATTCTTCATCATGAACAATCATCAAACTTGATTCTCCCTAAATCCTAAATTTCCATAATCAACTTGGATTAAAATGCAATTTTCACCTTGAACATTTCCATGCTAGTACTGTTATGAATAACAGAAAACACAGAGCCAGGCACTTAAAGATTTTCTCAAATAAATGGTTATTAACCTATGTTTAGAACACAAAAACCTGAATACAGTGTTTTATATGTATATATTTAATGCTTACAACATATACAGAAATACAAACATATTTTAAAGGAGAATCAATATTTCTCCCTGGGCAGAAGAGGAAAAGTTAAAGTAAATTCAAACAGGAAAAAAAAAAAATGTGAGTATATGTGAATAGTTGAACATCAAAATCTTCTAGGAGCTAGAGATATGGAAACAGAGGCCACAGAAACTAAAGATTAGTGACAGAGTTAATCAAGGAATTGACTGGAACCCTTCCCCTACTCTTGAACAGTTTTTAAAATATGGGGATTCATGAAGAGTTACTTCACTTTTCTGGGCCAGTAATCTCAAATATATGGAGCTAGGCTAGAAAATCTTTAAGAATTTTTCTCCATCAAAGATTTTCATTGAAGGATTCTACAAATCTTTTTGAATGATAGTTTTTGCCTTCCTCATCAAAAGGCTAAATCAAATTATAGATGAATCACAGAATCACAGTCCTTTCAACAAAAATCATTCTTTTCATCTGTCAAACATTAAATTTCCTCATAAGGTTATTGGGAGGAGCCAACCAAAAATAAACATGGAGGTACAGACTCTAAGCATAGAACTTGATACTGGACTGTCTCTGGCAATCAAGATAGGAGGAGGTTCTTAAGGGTAGGTAAGTCTTCAGAACAGTAGTTTGTCATAGGACCACTAAATGTGTTACAGAGCAAATTATATTAAAATATGTTTGAGATATCTCCATAGAATTAAAAGAAATGACTATGAAGTCATTTAGTCATTTACAAAGCCCCATCAAATGATACAAACAGGATAACCCCCCAAAAAACAAAACAATTACGCAGGGCAAAGATGATGATGCAAAAGTAATATCAGTGATTATTTCAATAGAAAGAAAAAAAAAAGTAAGAAAACATCAAAGAGAGGCCCAGAAAGAAACACCCAGCCCTTTTTCTAGCTAAAAGCTTCGTGGAATGAAGTATTTCCATGACTCACGAAGGGAAAGGTAGGAGGAAAGCATCTGAAGTTAGCATTTAAGTAGAGAGGAAATAAAAGACCATAGTTTCAGAGGATTAGAGTATAAGGCCAGACAGAAAAGCACTTATAAAGTAGGTAATGAAGCAATATAAAGGTACACAGAAGGGCATGGGGTTGTGACTCAGCAAGCACTCGCCTAGCTCGTGTGAGGCACTGGGTTCGATCCTTAGCATCATGTAAAAAATAAATAAATACATAAAGGTTATTGTATCCACCTGTAACTAAAAAAATAATAATAAAATAAAAAATAATTTTTTAGAAAGTACATAGAAGACTTAGAAAATAAGTCATGAAAGCTACATGAAAAAACAATATGGGGCTGGGGTTATAGCTCAGTGGTAGAGTGTTCACCTAGCAAGAGTGAGGCATAAGTTCAATCCTCAACACCAGAAATAAATAAAGTAGCAGATGGGAGTAAAAAAAGGAAACACAAAGCCAGGCACAGTGGCACACACTTGTAATCCAGCGGCTAGGGAGGCTAAGGCAGGAGGATCATGAGTTCAAAGCAAGCCTCAGCAAAAGCAAGGAGCAACTCAGTGAGACCCTATCTTTAAATAAAATACAAAATAGGGCTGGGGATGTGGCTCAGTGGTTGAGTGCCCCTGAGTTTAAAGGATTAAATCCTGTTTAATCCTTTTCCACCCAAAATAAAAAGAAAACACAAAATATCTACAACATTTTATCAAATAGTCACTGACAGAGCTCAGGATCAACAAGGGGGGAAAAAGTCGCATCAAGTTCTAATCACCACAGCAAATTAAACTATTTGGAGGGAAAAAAAATTTAAACATAGGAAAAAGGCGTACAACTGAAAGCATGTAAAAACACCACCACCACACCAGCTATACCAATAAAATAGTATGGGTTGTTCATAAGTTTATTATTAAGTTAGTCCTAGATTTCGTTTCCATACAAACTAGCTTTTATATATGAAGGAAAACATCTTTCCAAAACAATCATTTTAAAAGCCAGTTGTGGTCACACACACCTCTAATTCTAGCTACTCAGGAGACTGAGGCATGAGAAATACAAGTTCAAGGTCAGTCCAGGTGACTTAGTTAGACCTTGTCTCAAAGGGGGGGGGGCATTGGGGGTGGTAGGACTGTAGCTCAGTGGCATAGCACTTGTCTAGCATGTGCAAGGCCGTGGGTTTGATCCCCACTACAAAGGGAAACAATCATTTTAAAACACTAATATACATATTTGTGCACACAAAGAAAATTATCACCCTTAATACAGAACTCCAGGAAGTTCTTCAAATAGTAATGATAATGTCACACTGAAACAGGGATTCTTTTTTCTTTTTGTTGGACCTGGGGTTGAACTGAGGGATGCTCTACCACTGAGCCACATGCCCAGCCCTTTTTTATATTTTATTTGGAGACAGGGTCTCGCTAAGTTGCTTAGGGCCTTGCTAAGTTGCTGAGGCTGGTCTTGAATTTGCGATCCTCCTACCTCGGCCTCCCAAGCTGCTGGTATTATGGGCCTGTACCACGGGGCCCAGCTTGAAACAGAGATTTTAAGAAGCAAAAACAAAACAAACAAACAAAAAACCCAGAGTAGAAAATATGCAAAAAGAAGAAAGATAAATGCTGGGCAGTTTCAAACATTTCAACCTTTCCATCTGAGACTAGATGAAAAAAGAAAATAAGTTTGAAATACAGAAAATGAAAATTGGAACAGATTTTTTTGTCAATATTATGTGTGTATATGTACACATATTCATAATTATGTATATATACATACATATATATTTTTAGTCATTACATGTTTTTAAAGGTTCCGAACATAAAAACCTGAAATGCAGACTACAAATGGAATTAAATTTCTTTTTAAAGGTTTGAAATGCCCTCTGCTTGGTTAGCAGTTCCAGGAAATAGACAACAAATTAGGTATTTTGGCTATTTGCCCAAAGCCAAGTCATAACTTAAGATGACACCTTCCCCAACAAGTCCAATAAGAGCCCTTTGACTTGTACAGCATAACTATGAAGAAATTCAGGACTTTAAAGCTGTTTCCTTTATGTAAGGAAACAGGCCCAGAGAGTTCAGTCATCTGCTGATCAAGGGCTAATTGACTGATGCAACTAAGTCTGATCAGAGACTCAACTTTCTTAAATCTTAAAATTGATCCAACTTGAATTCTCCAGGAAAACAGAAAGTTTTCATCTGTGTGTGTGTGTGTGTGTGTGTGTGTATTTGTCAAAAAGACAGCAGTGTTCTCAAATGTCCCCAAAGGAGGCTTTCATTTTTCCTCTGGGTTTTCAATGGGGGGTCATACATACAAATGTTCTGTTAGACCAAAACTGAAGGACATTTTAATAATGTTAACAACACATAATATTTTACATGTTCTGTTATTCAAGTACTTCCAGCCTTTGACATTCTTCTTACCTCATTCTTCAAGCATTTTCTCATCTCCCGATCAAGAGCGTTGCAATGACCAAAAAATTTCAGAATGTTGTGCTAAAAGGAAGAAAAGGGGTAAAAGATTCATCCCATAATATGCCAAGGTCTTTGGCACACAGAATTTAATTCTTATGGAATTGAATTTACTGTGTTCCTTTGTAAAGAAGCAAATAAATAATAGTTAAATGTACCAAATATATAAACAGTCTTATCCTGGTCCTTGTTACCTAAAAGAAAAAAATGCTCCATAGGTGGAATGAAACAAAGGTCTTTACCTAGATAACAGAAAAGTCTCCTAGCCCATCAAAACCTCACACAGACAGAGTGTCAAAGTTTAACACCTCATACCCCTTTCCTGAAGGGACACGTTAAAAGCTCAGAGCAATCCATTGTCTAAGACAGGGACTGCTGTCAAGCTGCAGTGTGCCTACAGTGAAATAAGTAGTGACTTCACTAGCAAGCACTCTGTCCCTTAAGAGTAATTATTTAATAAAATGCTTAGTGCCAGAGCATTTCCTCGTTTGCCTCCATTCAAAATGTCACCAAAATACATCAGAGACACACACTATC